AAACCGGTCCCTATTTCAGACACTATTCAGGCCATGTCACAGACCTAAACCCGTCCAAAACTCCTTTAACTAATTCGACAAAAGAGTCCACCAATGAAAAAACGGCTTCTCCTATATCATTTATGATTTCTCAACTAAAAAACGGCCTAAATACTCCTCACCCTGCGATCACATCTACATCTGCGGTTTTCAGCCAAGTCGCACACTGTGAGATACCTCCCGACGAAACTAAACCGTCGTGTAGTGGGACTTGGCCCCTGGTGATGGATACGATGTATGTTTGGTCTGCGTTCAAACATTGATTGGGCTAGTCATTAGCATTCTAGCATTCTGCTTCGCTATCTGATACTATGTGAATGAGGTCAGTCCCGGTCAGGTCAGGCTTTGTATCTAAGTCTTCCCTGCGCTATTCAGCACCATTTTGTATGTATTAGAATGCACATTGCTTGTTGAGATTCTACTTGCACTGCATTGTCCATTCAGTCCTTTTTATCACATTGCGGATCCTCGGTTTCTATGTACATCGCCCAACTGGGCATGTAACAGTGCTTTCATGTGGAACCAGTCATCCGGTTTTTCTTTGTTGTTCGGCCTATGAGAGGATGAATGGTTTAGGAATGGGAATACCCACGTCTTGATGACGAATAAGGCCATCTGCTGGATATAGTTTTTTTTGCGGACAAGAGTTTTGTCCTGGGTGGTCTTGTCCCGTCGTTTGGCCTGTGAAGGAGGGGCGGCGCTTGCATGTGGGACTTGTCATCTAGGATCCGTTTTTGGTGCTGTTGCTTGTTGCCCCCTGTTTTGTTGTATTTGGCTGTTCTCTTCCTCTTTTCTTTGCCTCTTTGCCCTTTGGCTGTATGCAAGTGGGTCGATATGACACACGGGGGTGGGGGCAGCCAGCGCTCAACCTACATCCATGTAGGCGGCCTTGTACGCAAGAGGTTCTGAACAGGGGGAGTTACAAGTAAGAAGATAAAAAATGAATTGATATCTTTTTTGTTTCCTTTTGTTTTTTTCGCTTTTGTGCTCTGCTAACTTTGTGACAATATACATACATATATAACTCCGACAAAACAGTTTGTCACAGCCCCTCATTTGTTGTCCTCTTCTCCCTCTCTGCCTAAGGCTTACCGGGCAGTTCTATTTGACGATATATATATATATTTGACGATATATATATATATATGTATATATTCTCCCTCTCTGCCTACGGTTTACCGGGCAGTTCTATTTGACGATATATACTACGACTTCGCTAGCTTCCTGCTACGGTTTTCTCCGGTCAGGTCGAGCGGCAGTGGTCGGGGCCGTCAC